TTCTCTATATAACTCTAATATTGCACAGATGCTCTATGACCTGCCAGTCATGCTAATATAACTGCTATTACAAATATCCTAATTCAATTATTAGTAACAGTTACTGTAATATAAATATTATATAGATAATTATCCAAATTTTCACTATCAATAGAATTTGAACATCCAACCTACCACTTAGAGGGTTGACAACCTGACTACTTCACTAGATTGTCACATCTTTCTATTATAAGAATTTTATAATCTAGAATAATAATATCTTCTTATTATTCTAATTTTATAAATTAATTTTTCTTAAAAAGTTTTATTTTTTAGATTATAAGAATAAAAAAAAACTAATTTTGTTTTTGTTTTATTAACTTTTATATTAAAAATTACTTTTATATAGATCTAATGCTGATAATGTCTTGTTTTAGTTTGTAAAATATCTAATTTTTATTATTAAATTATTTGTATAAGCTAAAATTTTTTTTTTGCTTATACTAAGGCCATAGTTATTAATAACTATTGCCTTTATTGTATTTTAATTATGATTACATAACTTGTACAAGGTGAGTATACAACTAGCTATATGTACAACTTTTAGTTGTCTATTTTAAGTAGTTCACTTGCACAGCAGGTTCTACACTAACTACTAAATCTGCAATCTACTAGGAGATTATCTATTTAAACACTTTGATTCATATACTTATACTGACAAATAGCACACAAGTTCCTATATATCTAAGTGCTATTTAATCTAACTGTGATCTTCCTGTCTGTACATCTATCAAGCCATTATATATTTCAGAATATGTTACCTGACTATAAAGCTCCAAAGGGCTCTTCTGCTAACTAATTACTTGCATTTAGTTTCTTGTTAATAGAGTTTAATCTTGCAGAGTTTACTTAGATCCTAGTACTAACTTTATAGTATATCTCTAGTACTTATAGTATATCTCTGCTTCTGACCTTAAACTTTCAATCCAGATAGCTCAATAGGACTATGACCTGTTTTTGGTACCTTAGAGTCTGCCCTTCAAGGTCCTTTTTTTTTAGTTCAAGACTTCTGGCAGTCTGGTTGGTAGTATCTCTTATCTGAGTTTCTTATCTGCCTAATTCCTTCTATATTGATATCTATTTTCTAGGTTTAGTCTTTACAGTAGTACTGTTGAAGATCTGTGTTATCTCTCTACTTGAGTCTTCCCAAGTAGGCTTTGGTTTTTCTATTTACAGATTTATATGGCTATAAGAACTTATCTTGGGTTTGTACTGCCTGATGCCAATTTGCATTCTTCTGTATAACTCCAACATTGCACAGATGCCCTATAACCTGTTAGTCATACTGATGTTACTATGTTACAGATATCTGATCTCAACTAATCAACAGAGTGCCATTGCTGTAATATTACTTATCTTTTATAATACTGATATAACATAGATGGTTTTTTAAATTTTTACTGTAGGTGAATTTTGAACTTCTAATCTACTACTTGGGAGGTTAACAACTTAACTACTTTACTAAGCTGCCATACTCCTTAAGCTAAAATTTTGAAAAACTAGTTTTTTAGTTCAATTCTATATAATTGTTTTTTTTAAGCTTTTTATAAAAGATTCAAAGACTAATATATAAAAAAATAATAATAAAAAATCTTTTTGTTTAAAATTTGTAAATAGTTTTTGTATTAAAATATAATCTTTTTGGTTAAAAAAATTGTATATCAAGCTTATAAACTTGAAATTAAAATTTATATTTTTAAAAAAAGTTTTAAAAACTTATAACTAATATAATTAAAAATTTTTATTCATTAATAAAGAGTAACCAATGTTGTTTAAAAGAATTTGATTAATTTTTTATAGTTATAATAATGTTATAAGCTATATTTGTAATAGATTTGTTTTTAATAAATCTGTATTATTAACAAAATACTATTTTTTTACAAATAAGATTAAGACAGTTAGTTGAAATTTTATAAAAATTTTTATATTACTATTCATTAATTAATATTTTCTAAGTTTTTAGCTTTTTTAAATATCAAAGATATTAAACTTTTTGGTTTAGATTGCAGATAAAACTGTCTAAGCTTTAATTCTTGCATGTAGTTTTTATTTTGTAGTTTACAATCTTAGTATATCTTAGTATATAGTATATTAATATGTATAACTAAAATTACTAATAAAGATATGAGCAAGGCCTTATCTTAATACCAAAAAAAAAGATATTAAACTTTTATACTAAAAAATTAGCATAATTACTAAGCTAAGCATATAATTAAAAACATTATATAAAACTAGTATTATTACTTTTTTAATAAGTTTATTTATTTTTTTTTTAAGAGAGGTCTTTTCTCTAGTTCTTTATTTTAGTAATATATAATTAAGTACAACTAATACAAATTAATATATTAAAAATAAGAAAGTAGAAATTAAAATAAATTTACCCTTAACCTATTCTTAATTAAAATAGTTAAGAAACCTTTAGTTTATAGGTTTGATGAAAGAGGATGATTAATTAAATTATATAAATTTATTAAGCCATATAGTGTATTGTCTATCTACTAACATTAATAATATATGATCTGGTTAGTGTTAGTAATATTTGGTAGTAATAAAATTTACTATTAGACATATGTTCTGCTTAGTTTTTATATATGTTTGTGTATTTTTTTTGTAATTCAATAATAATATTTAGTAGTAAATTCTTTTTTAATAACCCAAGATTGGTTAAATTGTTTGTTATAATTTTAATAAAAATTTGTTAACATATGTAGATGTTTTAAATTTCTTGAGCTAGATTAGTTGATAGTTAATTCAATTTCATTTTCTTCACAAATTTTTGTTATTGCTTCTTTTATGATTTTTTTTTATTCTGTTTAGTTATAAAGGCAAGTAAGCATATAAACTGTATCTTTTAGTATATTAGAACAGTTTGCATAAAATAAATTAATATGAGTTTTTAATTTTCTTTTATAAAGGTTGAAATATGGAGATGAGTCAATAAAAATATATCAAATCTTTTTTAGTAAAATATTTTTGCAACTTTAAATAAAGATAACTTGACAAAAAATTATTCAAATTTTATAAAAATTGTTTTAAACAAATTCTATAAAAATTTTAAATTAATTTAAAAAAATTTTTATTAAATATAATTAAGTTTTTGCTAAGTTATTTAAGCTTAAAGTTTCAAAAAAATTTACTTAGAAAAAATTTGGTATATTTCTATTGATTTACTCCTATATGTTGGTAGTTCTGAAGTTAGAATTTTTAATTTTAAATATTTTTAAAGTAGATTTTGTAGAATTAGTATTTTGGCTAAAAGGTTTGTTTTTGAGATTAAGATATTTAAATATAAGTTTTCAGTTAATATTAGAAAGATTGTTAGAGATATATTTGAAGCATTTTTGGTTATTTTATATAATAATCACTTCTGCTTGTTATAAGATTTTTGGTATTTGATAAATTATATATGTAGTTGATATATTCAGTATAGAGAGGTAAAAGTAGTATTAAGTACTGTATTAGAGAGTAAATCAGTATAAAATTGAAAAAAACATTTTTTATATTGATCTTTTCTTCTATTAAATCAATTTAAATCTTTAGATTTTTGGTATTAATTATAGTACTAAGAAGAATGCTAAGTTATTAAAAAAAGTTTTTCTTAGTTAATGTTTTTGTTCAGTTAAAGTTGCAATTGTTGTTAAAATTTTGTTATAAATATTATTTTTATTAATTGTTATTTGAACTTTTGTTCTTTTTGTTAATACTGTAAAAGTTATTGCAAGTATTATAAATATTGCATATTCTGTAGAAGTAAAAGTTTGGTTAGTGCAATGCCAAGTATGCTTATTATGCTAATATATCATTTGAGCAAATAATGTATTGTGTTTATTTGTTTTTTTGTAAATAGTTGTAAGTTTAAGATTTAGTTCTTTTGGAAATGAACTTGTTGTATATATTTTTTATATTTTTTCTTAATTATTTGCAAAGGTTTGTATAAATCAATAGGTAGTTTAATACTTTGTAATTGGTAACAGAAGTTTGTAATCTTATTTGAATTGTATAGTTCTTTAGTAAGAATATAGACAATCAAGATTTGCATGAATTTTTTTGTAACAATTAACTTGAATTTTGAAATTTAGATCTATTAGATTAGTAAAGTAGCAGTAAGCTGTTTTAAATTTTAAGTTTTTGATTTGGCATCCAAGACATGATATTAGTTGATAAGTGTTTAATAAATAAGTATTGTAATGCTTAATTTTAGCTTGATTATTACTAATACTTGTTATTTTTCTAAATAGTTGTGATTTTGTAATTATCTATTATGAGATATTAGTATTAATTTTTATAAAGATATATGAATTAGAATAATTTAATATTGTAGATAGGTTTGTTAATAAAGTTATTTGTCTGTGATTACTTTAAACCATTTTGATGTTTTTTTTCTTAATATTTTTGTATATTATAATAAAAAGATTTCTAGTTTAAAATATTGTAATTTAAATAATTAAAAAATTGTTCAATGCAGATAATATTATAATTATTTAATTGTTGTTTGATTAAGTAAGATTGTTTCATTGAATAAAAAATTTGATTGATAGATGTGCTTTTTGTTTGTTTAAAGATAGGCAATAGGTTTGCTATATATTTAAACTATATATTCAATAAATGAAAAATAAGTATTATTTAAGCTGTATTTGTTTTGACTTTATTTATAATTAATACTAGTTGTTTTAGCAAGATTAATTTGTTTGAATTAGCTAAATTTTGAATTTGTTTAGACAGATTTTTAAACTTCAGATGTCAAAGTTAGAAGAGTTGATACTTTGATCTAATATGCAAATTTGTTATTATTGTTAAATATTGTAAAATGTATTTAGAGCATATATATTAGAATAATATTAAGAGAAGTTAGGTGTAAACTGAGCTAGTCAAGCTTTTTGTTTGATAATATTTGTATATAAGTTTGTAATAAAACTACAAGAGCATTTTGATAAATAGATGCTTTGCATTTAGTATGCTATATGTATAAAAATAATGTTATTAATAATATATATAGCTTGTTTGTTAGTTATTTTAACAAATTTGATTTTGTTTAAATTAGAGAAAATATTTTTGATAAGAAATTTTTTTGTAAACACACTATCAAGATAGACTCCAAAAGATAATTCAAAAACATTTAAAAATTGGTGATTTGAATTTTCAAAAACACCGTGATTCTACTATCCGAATTAAAGACCAATTTCAATTAATTTGTGGTCGAACTCCCCCTTTTAAGGAAGAACTTTCTTTACAGAAAAAAAATGTTTAGTTGAAGTAATAGATCTCATGTAAGCTATACCTCTAGGTATCTAAATATTGCTTTTTGTTTAATATTTGTTATATTCTTTTCTTGAAATGTTATATTAGCATTAGAATTTGAGTTATTAGTTACTAAAGTTAATTTGTAAAAGTTGACTTTGATGTTGATATAAAAAAAATAGAAGTTGGCTGTTTTTAATATGTTTTGTAACTCTTGTTTGTTTTTGGCTATCTATATTATTTTATCTATATAGACTACTATAAAAGTGTATATTAATATAGTAAAGAAATATGTATAAATGTTAAATTAATATTCTTGATATATTGTATTAATATAGTTTTTTTTTTGAACTTTGATAACAATGCCAGTTAGTTTATTAGCTTTAATTTGATATAGTACAAATTTATAATTACATTTTTAGAATCGATTATTACTAGTACTATATACTATCTAATTTTATACTACTGACTTTATCTAGTTACCTTTATGGCATCTAAGTGCATGTTCACTACATGCCTGCATGCAGTTATCTTAACAACCACTTGTAGTTAGGACACAATTATTAAACTGTTATACAGACAAGGATACCTACTAAACTTAATATGGTATCTTAAATGCCAGAAGTACTGTCTTTTGTAATCATACTCATATATTTTACTTATATGTTTTATCTGATTTTGTTTCTTCTGCCTCTTAATCTAACTATATCTAATATTATCTTGTTCCTTATATTTTTCATCTTTTTGTCACTGTACCCTTCTCAAATTGGTTCTACTTAAGTATGTTTGATCCTTATAATCTTTCCATCTTTGGTATGCCTGTTATTAATTCCTCTAAGATGTTCTAACAATAGTCCAAGATCTGCAATGAATTCATATCTCAAGTCAAATCTGCTATCACTATGGTCTTTTGACCAATTTATATTTCAAGCCAGGTCTGCTGCTATCATTTCTGCAGATATCCCAAGTCTTAACATCATATAGTAACTTGATGTTGCATTTAATTTTCAACATAGTGCTTTCTTCTATAATAGGGACTGAGACTTATTGCATTTACAAATAGCACAATTCTGATTATATCTAGAGAGTTTCTCTAACTTTAGTAATACTATGCTACCATATATTGCAAGCTCTCAGCTTATTCGATAATATCTGCAAAACAATTCTGGTTATGCCCTAAAGAGTTATACTGACCCCAGTGATGTTATACTACCTTGCAGATCTTATCTTATATTGGTTAGTTAATCTCAGTCTTGTTCATTATAAACTTCTATATAGGTATAACCAAAAACCCAATTTGGTACTTTTATATTGTATAAGGAAGTTATATGCTAACCTCCAAGATTTTTCCTTTCTATAATTAGATTATTCAACTGTGCCAAAGATGCTTTCAATTTTTGGTTAAACCAATCCTTTATTACAACTCATCCTTGTGTTTACTGTTTCTCTTACTATTTCAGTCTTGATTACTTTCAGAATACTCTTTCAATTAAATCTTTTTCTTGAATTCTAATTAAGACTTATTTGCACAATCTGTTGATTATCCTTCTAAGCAAGTACTCTATAAGTTGAATGCAAGAATGTTGGTACTGCCTATATTAGGAAATATAAGGATATTAGTGCTGCCCTAGTCTAAAGGACTTATATATGCAATCTTTTCATAACTGTAACCTTCTGTAACAATTGTTTGTTATATATAGTGTTTGCACTTCATGATTGGGTCTTCTTTTGAGAATTTCTATTTCCATTATTGTACTGCACTTGGACTTAACCACAAGGCTTTGCATTCAATTATAGTCTCCTTATTAGGTTATATAAGATAAAATCTTTCAATTTTGCTTCTAGCCAGACTTGAACTATTAACCTTGACTATGAAGAATATAAGAGCTTAACCACTAAGCTATTGGATTCACACTCTTGTATCAATATAGTTAATAAGTAGATTATAATATATTCTTCATAGAATTGGAAAAAAGGTTTCTTTCTAATTGATGCCATTTTGTACAATATAATGTTGTGTTAGTTTAATGCTTGTTATGACAAAATTTTGTTTGTTTTTAAAAAGATGATTTAATAAATTTATAATCAAAAAAGAAATATAGATTCATTGTAGTATCTTGATTAGTAAGAAAATATATACTGTGTTATAAGCTTTAAACATATTTTGTACTAAAATCCAGTATTTATTTTTTGTTATATTAGCATGTTCTATTATATGGGAGATAGTTTGTATAAATTAAAGAGTGGATATAAATAAAAGTGCAATATTGTTATTTGAGTTTAGCATTAGATGTTAAGTAGGAACCTTATTTAATCAATGGGTAATTATTTTTGTAAAAAATTTTTGAGTATATTCAATTAAAATAATTAGTTAAGTATATAAAAGATCATTGTTATAATGTTGTTTTTTGAATTTGCCTATATATTTGCATGTCCTCAACTGCTTAGTGTTTTTTTAATTAATAAACAAACATTGATGATTTGAAAAATAATTTGTTTTACTGATGTTAGTAAGTATTAAATTATTTCATTGGAGATTCCTAAGGGCTAATAGCTTTGTGTAAAGGTAATAAAGCTATTTCTTAAATTGTATTACATGCAAATTTGTCTGCATCTTTTTTTTAAAATTTAATTTTTATAATAAAATTTTAATAATTAATTTTAGCAATATATTTTCTAAGTAAAAAACATTTTTAAAGGTTTACTTTATAAACTTAGTTAAGAAACTTTTTTAACTTTATTAAAAAACTTTTAATTAATTAAAGTTTAAAAATTATGTAACATAAAAGTTTATTATTAAAATATTTTTTATGTTTTCTAAAATTTCATATGTTTTAGAAACTAAAAAAAAATTTTGCTCTTAAGACAAGTATTAATTTTTATATATAAATTATTTTTTTTATTTTTTTTATTTTTTTTTGTTAAAGGTCATACTTGTGGCAATACTTTATTGACTTTATATTGGGTTAGCTATTACAACTATTTTTACAGAAATAAGAGTACAGCTAGTTATGTATGCAACTTTTAGTTGTCTATTTAAGTAGTTCACCCTAAGGTTCTATACTAGATGTCATATCTATAACCTACTAGAAGATTATCTATTTAAATCTTCTAATCATTTACCCTGTTATATTGGAATCTCCAACTTACTCTCATATATACCTAACTGGTATACTATTTGAGCAGTATAATTATCTATCCTTTTTGTACTAGTTCCTAGACCATTACATATTTCAGAGTACATCACCTGCCAGTAAGGTGCAGAGGGTCCTCTGTTGTTAACTATCTACTCATTTTTAGAACATTAATATAGGCTATTTTTACAGAGTTTACTTAGACCCTAGTACTGACTTCACAACATATCTCTAATACTTTTAGTATATCTCTGCTTTGAATCCAGACTCTTAATCCAGATAGCCTGGAAGGACTGTGACCTGTTCTTGATATATTGAAGCCATCTTAATATCCTTTTTCTCCAGTCTGAAATCTGGCAGCCTGGTTGGTAGTACCTCTTATCTGAGGTTCTTGCCTGCCCGAATCTTTCATATTGGTATTTATTTTCTATATTTAGTTTTTACAGTAGTACTGTTGAAGATCTATATTACTTCTCTGCTCAGAATTTCTAAGTAGGTTCTGGTTTCCTAGTTCTATAAATTTACATAGCCCAAAGACTTATTTTAGATTTGCACTACCTAGTACCAGTTTGCATTTCTTTATGTAACAGATTACATAAATACTCCAGACCTGCCAATTATGCTAGTGCAACTATAGTTACAGGTATCCTATCCCAACTGATCGACAGAATGCTGTTACTGTAATACTGTCTATATATTATATAAGTGATTATCTAAATTTTACTGTTAGTGAGTTTTGAACTCATAACCGACTACTTGGAAGTATGACAACTTATCTACTTCACTAAGTCACCATATCCTTATATATAAATTATTAAATTTATAATAATTAAAAATATAATCTTTAATATAAACTAAAAAGTTGTATTAAAAACTATAAGTTTAAAATTAATATTT